GGGCCGATTTCATGGCCGATATCTTGATGTTTGGCACCTTGTCTGAATGCTAAAATGACACTAACAACAGTGGATACACAACATTTCTGAGCCTAAATCAGTTTTAAAACACTGAATACAACCAACTGTTGAATCTTAATTCTTTTTGCACTGCTCGGTGTTAAAATCAAACATTTTAAAAAGCTTAATAAACTACCAATAAACTGACGAAGTAATAAATATACAAAATAGGCTAAAATGAAATGTCAGCATTTACTGAGCAGATGTTTTTCAGGAATGTACATTTACATGTAGGTAAAAATAAATGCAGCTTTAGAATAGAAAGACATTCTACTGAATAAATGTATAATATAATGATTTAAGAATCAGTAATGCTGAAAGCACAACAGCAACTTGTTGAAACACCAGAAACATCAAAAGTTCATTCGATCTTTTTAACTCACTGTTCCTCAACATCATCATGTAAGTTAGAAATGAAAGTTGCTCTGATGAAGGTGGCAGTGAACGTCGAAACATGTCAGCAAAGGTAGCATCAAACCCTCATCACTGTGTATGATGAAGAACAAAAGAAAATTAAAGCTGCAAGCAGCGTCGTTCGGCCCTCGCAGCTCCGCGCCGCTCTGGCCTGGCCGGCAGCCCAGGGCACCAGGGCACGTCCGCGGAACAGAAACATTGACCACCCCGACACCAGAAACCGCTAACGGTCACCTCGTCCGCACCTCACCCTGACTCAGCATCCCCTCTGAGCCCACTAAGTTTGGTGCAGTTACGACCTTGTCTGTAGGAGTTATTACAGTTTTAATGGTGTATAGGAGACGCTGTGGTGACATTATACAAATTTCACCAACCGTTTGTGTCTCATTGGCTAAAGGGCATGATTGTTGATTGCCATGTTCAGTCTCGTGCAGATGGGAGGCTGTTTGTGGAAGTTACGATCAAACGTAAAGTCACGGCGTCATGCCAGAATTCGCCATGGCATTAAAGCCCCTCCCTATCTGGAAAGCTATCAGATCTGAATGGTCATTGCAATATCATGAAGACAGTGCATGACCTTAGTGTCATGTTGACTAAATTCGAGGGGACAACTATGGGCATTTCACCATAAAACAATAGACTTCCTGTTGTCAGGGGCGGGGCTTAGGTGATGTCACCTGTCCACAATGACGTTGTCTTGAGATGTGGTCAGTGATCACACAGACAAAGTTTGATATAGATCTGATCATGCACATGGGAGTTATTAAGTCAAGGAATGTAATGGCGAAAGGTCAAAGTTTGAGGCTTAGCCACGCCCACACCTTTATACTTATTTAAAATCCGACGGTTGAATTTTTTCCTCTATGTCTTAAGAGTATATAGCAGACGTCTGAAGGCGATTGGTGAAAAGGGCAACGGAGCATCACTCTCCAAACGTGTACGAAAACCACTAAATCGTGCACTTGGACCAAAATGGCCGACTTCCTGTGCGACTTTGCACTTGGCTCCAAGAGACTTTTTTGTAGGTCCTGAGACACCACATTAGAGTACCAAATTTCGTAATCCTCAGTCAAAGCATGGCTTGGGGCTGACAGTTTTAATGGTCCTAGGGGGCGCTAATTCAGAAAATAGGCCACGCCCACAAACTTAAGCTGACCATTTCTATTGGGGGTCAGACTAGGATCACTCACAACAAATTTCGAGGTGATATCACGATAAATGAAGAAATGAGAGGCAAACGTATTTCCATGGCGTGATGGCGAATTTCGCCATGCTCCCAAAGCCCCGCCTTTTTTCAAAACCTTCCAGTACTGGAGACCAAGTGACCTCAACTTGTCTGCTGCTATTTACCAGAGATTCCTGGTGATTGGGTAAAAGGAGTCCAACAGGGAGCTGTGAAAAAAAGATGGTGTGGCGAAAGGTCAAAGTTTGAGGCTTAGCCACGCCCACACCTTTATACTTATTTAAAATCCGACGGTTGAATTTTTTCCTCTATGTCTTAAGAGTATATAGCAGACGTCTGAAGGCGATTGGTGAAAAGGGCAACGGAGCATCACTCTCCAAACAACGTGTGCGAAAACCACTAAATCGTGCACTTGGACCAAAATGGCCGACATCCTGTGCGACTTTGCACTTGGCTCCAAGAGACTTTTTTGTAGGTCCTGAGACACCACATTAGAGTACCAAATTTCGTAATCCTCAGTCAAAGCATGGCTTGGGGCTGACAGTTTTAATGGTCCTAGGGGGAGCTAATTCAGAATATAGGCCACGCCCACAAACTTAAGCTGACCATTTCTATTGGGGGTCAGACTAGGATCACTCACAACAAATTTCGAGGTGATATCACGATAAATGAAGAAATGAGAGGCAAACGTATTTCCATGGCGTGATGGCGAATTTCGCCATGCTCCCAAAGCCCCGCCTTTTTTCAAAACCTTCCAGTACTGGAGACCGAGTGACCTCAACTTGTCTGCTGCTATTTACCAGAGATTCCTGGTGATTGGGTAAAAGGAGTCCAATAGGGAGCTGTGAAAAAAAGAGTAGTGTGGCGAAAGGTCAAAGTTTGAGGCTTAGCCACGCCCACACCTTTATACTTATTTAAAATCAGACGGTTGAATTTTTTCCTCTATGTCTTAAGAGCATATAGCAGACGTCTGAAGGCGATTGGTGAAAAGGGCGACGGAGCATCACTCTCCAAACAACGTGTGTGAAAACCACTAAATCGCGCACTTGGACCAAAATGGCCGACTTCCTGTGCGACTTTGCACTTAGCTCCAAGAGACTTTTTGTAGGTCCTGAGACACCACATTAGTGTACCAAATTTCGTAATCCTCAGTCAAAGCATGGCTTGGGGCTGACAGTTTTAATGGTCCTAGGGGGCGCTATTTCAGAAAATAGGCCACGCCCACCAGTTGTTCACATCAGATCTTTTGGGGGGCCGGACTAGGATCACTCACAAGAAGTTTTGTGACGATATCTTTAGAAATGGCGAAATGGGAGGCAAACGTAAGGCCACGGCGGTACGCCTGACTTCGCCGCGCCGCCACAGCCCCGCCCTCTGCCAAAAACTCCCATAAAGTGACGCCAAGCAACCCCCACTTGTCTTGAGTTACCAGCTACAAATTTGTGGTGATTGAGTGAAATGGGGCCATTTGGGACCTTTCACAGTAAAACTTGACCTTTTTGGTCCTGAGGGGGCGGGGCTTCTGTGAAGTCATCATCCGACCATTCATTTTACTTTGTGGGTGGATGACAAATGACCACAGAAAGTTTGGTAACTCTATTCCACACAGATATGAAGTTATAGCAATTTAAATTTTTTTGGCGAGTAGTCAAACTTCGAGGCCTGGCCCCGCCCCTTCAACATATACGAAAACTCAGAATCCTTGTCTCATTTTGTTCACCCATCCCTTCTGAGCAATTTTACACAATTTTTGAGACGATCGTGCGAAAAATGATCGAGCAATCCAATCAGAAACGGACCCTAAAAACGGCAAAAACGGCTAAAAATCGCCATTTCAACCCAAAATGGCCGACTTCCTGTTTGATATTGACCATGCTTGCAAGAGACTTTTCTGTGCGGACTGTGGAGTACTACAAGTGTACCAAATTTCATAACTGTACGATAAACTAAGCTTTATGGAGAGGGTTTTTTTTTTTCACTTTCTAGGGGGCGCTGTTCAGCCATTTTCTTTGCGATTTTTTTGGGACCTTTAAAATATCAAATTTTTCACCAGGCCTGACATGTTTGCAAAATATTGTGAGTTTTGGGGTATGTTAAGGTATACCATCTGATCTCATAGTTTAAATGATGATATCAAACAGATTAAAAAAAGTTAAAGGTTATGGGCAAATTTTGATATTTTAAACAATAGAGGAAAATGTAAACAAATAACATAATTATAAAATAACTTATTTTAGGCAAATTTTGAAAAGACTAACTGAGGACAATATTTATCTTGATATAGAGGGTTTATTTAGTTGTCTAAAAATGTAACACGTTTAAAAAAAATACTGTGATAATACCAAAAAACTTTATAGTTTTGGTCACAATAACCGTGAGGTTACATTTTCACACCGGGACAACCCTAGGCTTGGGTTTGACTCACAGTCTTGTTAACAAAAATTATTTAGCCAGCTGAAGCAGATTTCATAATTTTGTATTTTACTTTCATTGATTATTATCTGCAAAATATTTTGTGTCTCTAAACTTCTTTGAATTGGACATTTCCAAGCAGCATTTTAGTTTTTTTATTTTGCTCACTTCACATGGACCATGGACTCACACTGGCTAAATAAATAAAGTGGAAAAAAATACTTATTCATCCTTATATTTTAAATGGTTTACCATTAAATGATTGAAAACATCATACTGGCAAGTATAGCTAAAAAAATAAGAAAACTAATTTACTGCTGTGATCAGGACATGAACCTGCACAGAGCTGCATCCCAGCGATCCCAGCCCAGGGCGCTCCTGCTGCACCACCAAGTCAGCTGTCACCTAAGCTGTGCTGGTCATGGGAGGCAGGTTTCAAAACCCAAACCAGATTAAAGTTAGTCATCATCACACACTGGTGAAACTCATCTCCACATCTGACCCGTCCCCATGGGGAGGGGTGAGCTGCAGCTGTGACTAAGCTTGGGAACTATTTGGTGGTTTAACCCCCAATCCAACCCCGTAAAGCTGAGTGTCAAGCAGGGAGGCATTGGGTCTCATTTTTTTAAGTCTTTGATATGACCCAGGTTCAAGGGTAGAGCAGGGCCTGGTGTTGGGAAACGTACTGAGGTTACATTGTCTGTTTTCATAAATTTCACAGTAAACTGAAAATTTGCAGCTGAAACATGAAAATGCATGAATGCAGCCTAAATTTGGTTTGAGGGTATTTTTCATGAGGAAACCGCAATATTGCACGCTAAAAAGCTCCAAAAAGTGAATTATCCATGATCTGGCCCCTTTAAAATCAGAACCAAGTATACTATTTTAATGTCACGTGTGCATAGTATAGTTAATTTAGCTCTCTTTGCAGGTGTTTTTGAAGCCATACTTTAGCTACAACCCTGCCACAGACAACCTGACCCCCTGTAAAGAGGCAGGACTGGCCTTTTCCAAAGGAGACATACTTCATGTTGTCAACAGAGAAGACCCCAACTGGTGGCAGGTGAGTTGGGAGGACCTGAAATAGAAGCTCATTACATGTTTGAGGTTATCATGTGTCCTGGGTGATGGATTACCCAGAAGCATTATGACGGATGTGTTGTGTGAAATGTAAGAGAGTTTAAAATATGTGTTGTGATCACACAACCCACAGAATCAGGAGCAGCATTTTAAACACACTTCTGCTGTTTCTAAGAGTTGTGCATAGGTAAATGACCTTACAGTAAATAATGTAGAAACTTATGCAAATGTGAGATGTTTCTTTATTTAAATTAATGTTATTACATTTTCATTTTGTCAAACAATGATTTCAAATATCAACTAAAAATGTATGTCTAAAGATTTTTCGGTGACATAAACAACCCAAGAAAAAGACCTTTGTCATGGATTTTATCAATATGTTTATCAATAAACCATTTCCTGGAGTAGAAGAGAAAGCGGACAAGAAACAATGAGGCAGACATACAACCAAATCATGATTTAGTGGCAAGTGCGCGGGGTAAATGCCCCGAACATCTGGTCACAGACTTTATTTATACAAAGGAGATAAGAAAGGAATGGGAGTGGATCATGTGTGAGAGTGAATGTACGCTTGTATGGGAGGACAAGAATGTGTGTGTGCGTGTGTGTGAATGCTTTCAGGACATTCAGTTAATAGATCTGTTAATAAGACTAAAGTAATGAAATATAAAATTTCCATAACATAATCCCTCCTGTTGATCCGAATAGGATAACCAAACGTTAAGTAAGCAACACACAAAGAACAAATAAGTAACAAAGAACGAATAAAATAATAAAACAAGATGGCATCAAACAGCATTTTACAGAAATACAAGTGAGATAATGGAAATCAGTTAAATCAACACCATCATAAACTTAAGAAAAGCTATTTCATACATATTTAAGTGAATTTACTGCAATGCAACAGTTCTACAATTTATAGCAGTCCCTGTAAAGAGGTTGGGAAGGGTTAGCAAGACCGAATGGTACACAGAAAACATCAGTTGAGTTTATTGTGAATTTAACTTAAAGCTTCAAGTTGCAGACGACTCTTCCTGTGAATGAGGGAAAATGAACATGTAATATTAATTTATGTAGCTCTAACTATGGCAGAGCTGAGGCAAATCCATCGTTCTTCATCAAGGGCTTGTCCGTGGGCTGGGAGTCTCGGTTGGAGATTAGTTTGGAAGGTCAGAGTCCTCTTCAGTTGATCAGGATGGTTTAAGTCTCACTTGATGAGTACCTTGAAGTCCGGGTCCGGAGTGCAATAATGGAGTTCGGGATGTGAGCGTACTGTTCAACTTCTCAATAGGAAGACATCAGGGTCCTTCCATGAGGTGGTTGTCCAATTGTCAGGGAGCTGATCTTGTCCCAGAAAAGTCCTTCTGATCCTTTGACCGTGAAACCATGTTGGAGATTGGGTGCAGGTGATTGAGGCAGTTATCCTTTTCCAGCATCTCTTCGTCGCTGTGTCCTGTCGTAGTCGCGTCCAGGGGGTCTTCAGCTGAGGTGGATGCAGGTCACGTTGTCATGAAGGTGTGCGGTGAGGAAGGAGCCCCAATCTGCCATTTCAGCTCCGGTTCTAGTACCCCCTCAAATGCTGCTGCTGTCTCAGTTGTTCCATCAGGTGCTGAGAGGCGGTCCAAATGCAGGGTCATGAACGTTCACCAACATCAGCAATGTGGTGAAACCAGCAAGCTTGAAGCAGATCTAATCTTTATCTTGATCTTATCTTCACCGGGGGTTGAGACATGAACACCTATTGTTGCCAACACGCCTTTGAAGCCGGACTTCGTTGTGCCCTAAAGGCAGTCAGTTGACGTTGATGAGCCTGCAGTGGGGTCGATGAATCCAAGATGGCCTCTCAGCAATCTTCACAGCAGTGGGAGTGATGAGAAGTACTTTGAATGGACCTTCTCTGGCTTCCCCAATTGTCTTGCTTCAGCACCTTCGTCAGAACCCAATTTCCTGGTTTCACGACCTGTGGCGAAAAAGCACAAGAAAATTCTGGGAGATCACTGTTGATTGTGAATTGTTTTCAGCAAAAATCCTTATCATCCAATATTTAAAGTATTTTCATCCAGGCAGTGTAATAATGTGAGGAAATCGTTATCAGCCATCCCTCTTGAGGCATGAGACGACTAACCAGAAACAAAGCACACACAAAACAGGTCTCATACCGGCAAGCATTGCGCCAACCCAATGCAAGAGTTGGACCTCACATAACATGTATCCTCTAAAAGCTAAAAATACCCATCCCAAGGAACTTGCAATTACCAGTTTACATCAGCAGGGGGCATAGTTGTGCAGCAAAGTGTGCATAAAACAACTAAACAAAACAAACAAACAAAAAGGCCATAATCAGTGTAAAGAAAATTGAAAATAAACACACAAAGTGATTTACATCACATAGAAGTAACAGGAGAAATTGCAGTAGAAGAGCTGTTGCAGAAGATTGTTATCTAACTAAATCAAAAAGAATCAACCCATCTGGGAAAAAAAGGGTGAGCTTGCCAGCATCCATCAGCTCATATCACAAAATAATAATGTCATAGACGCTATGCATGTGCTCTCATTATGCCAGAAACTTTACCTATATTCACATCATCAGAGCTAAATCAGGGAATATGTCCAAGACCAAGTGACTTTTTCATTTTATCTCTTGCTTCTAACACTGGAGTTAACTAATAACGAAACCAGTCCTAGTTATAAAAATAATATTCCAACTTCATATATATATTCAGTAAGGTAAGGTTGCTTCAGAGAACATCAACAATGTACAATATCACTCAATAATGTCACTCAAATAATGTGTAAAATTTGTCAACAGGAGATAAAAACTGCTAAATTAAACTCAGTAAGTTAAACTGGATAGCAGAAATATTTAAGGAAAATAAAACTCATTTGTCACATAGAGCGTGAACTTTCGAAAAACATCTGTAGGTGATCTTGGGGTCACACAACCCTAAGTGTATTTGAAAAGATGAAAATTGTTTCAGGAAAGGAAAAGACGATCTAATTTGTAATTTGTAAAAATGTAATTAGTCTAAAACGATCATACTACGGGAAACAAGGAAATGCATGAGGAAGAGCCCTAATTGGTTTAAAGGTCAAGCAGACGAATATAACCTTAAGCTTGGTTTATGCTTGACGCATTTACTTTCTGCTTGGTGATGCGGCTCGTGGATGGAACGCGCTTCACAACTTGCAGCGTTTATGGTTCATGCGGCTTGTCTCTGCGGTGAGCCAATATTCTCCCAAACTGAACAGGGCAGCATGGAGCTCTACGGCATGCATCCAACACTACACCATAGTAGAAGTAAAAATGACTGTTGTTTACAACATGGCATTCCAGCATTTTTTAACAGCTTCCTCGTCTTTTCCGACAGTGCGAGCTATTTCTCTCCAAGAATTATTAACAACATGTTGATCACGGTGATCTCTGAGAGCTGAATCATACAGATGTCTGTATTTATGAACCTGTGCCATACTAGTTCTTGCCAGTCCGCCATGTTTTTCTGCGTCCGACCGTCCGCGTGGTTAGAAAATTTCCTAGGTGCGCGCTGCGGAAAGTTTGGGCCGTGTGGAGGCGCGGTGGAGGGGCATGGTTGTTAAAATGACGCAATTTTGCCGCGCGGAGCCGTGCCAACCTCGCGGACGCGTCAAGCATAAACCAAGCTTACGTGTGATAATGAACAACGAAAGTATTTATATTCACAAAACAACAAGAAATAAACAAAATAAAATACTGACAGGCTTAAAACTACTAGATTCATATGTAATCAGGTCATTCTCAAAATAACGTGAACATCAAAGAATATTTTTTAGATCATCAATGCTTCTGATCACATCTAAGGGTCATGTAGGACAAGTGCCAACTTATAAAGCTCGTCTAATAAACAATAAAAATAAAACAATAGCCAAGGGCAAGAGCTGCTCTCTTGTTGAAAAAGGAGATAAGGACTGAGAGCTGACAGCAGGGGCAGAATAAAGATTGGGCAAAACTACAGAAAATATTCATTAACCAGCTGGGAAGGAGTTCAATTAATTCAATTAAGTAAAGCTGCAAGCAGCGTCGTTCGGCCCTCGCAGCTCCGCGCCGCTCCGGCCTGGCCGGCAGCCGGGGGCACAAGGGCACGTCTGGCAGAACAGAAACGTCGACCACCCCGACACCAAAAACCGCGAACGGTCTCCTCGTCCGCACCTCACCCTGACTCAGCATCCCCTCTGAGCTTACCATTAAATTACACATCTCACCACTAGGGGATACTCTATCTTTACCACACTGGTGATGTGATGACAAAGACCAACTTTAATGCTAATCTGACCACGTTTTTTGAAGTTATCGAAGGTTAAATCAATCTAGGGGGCGTTGTGACCAACCACAGAAAAATCCCATTGAGGTCAGCTTTGGTTGACAAAGATGGTTTTCTGTTATTTTGGCATCAATCAGACGTTGTGTGTGTTATCTAGAGCCAGTGAGCTGAAAGGGGCGGAGCTACAGGGATTTGAACCAACAACCACATCAATGTGTTTGGTGCAGTCACGTGATGTCACAAGCCAAGTATAATGCCATTCTGACCTTGTCTTTAGAAGTTAATAAAGTTTGAACCCATCTAGGGGGCGCTGTGACCATTTACAACTAAATCCCATAGAGGTAATCTTTGCTCATCAAAGATGGTTTTCTGTTAATTTAGCATCAAACAAACGTTGCATGGGTCATCTAGAGACAAAAGGATGTAAGTGGGCGGAGTTAAAGTGATTTAAACAAGTGAGCACCTACATGTGTTGAATGCAGTTGTGTGATGACTCCCACCACGTTTGATATACTTTGGAGCTTTTTTGCAGAAGTTACAAAGGTTTTATTGTATCTAGGGGGTGCTGTCCCAAATTTAGGAAATATTCCATGAAGAAGTTTGTAGGTTGATAACAGTCATCTGTGTGCAGTTTGGTGTGAATTGCAACATGCATGTGTTATTCAGGGCCTAATATCCGTCAGGGGGC